TTTTCCTTAGACAGAAAACTTTGTATCAATTTGACTGTATGATCTGGTTGAACTGTAAAGTGCCTTGAGATGACATGTGTTGTGAATTTGGCGCTATATAAATAAACTGAATTGAATAACTCTTTACTGTTATGCTATTCTTATACAAATTTCTAAGGTCCACATTTCTCTGACCATCTTATATAATCTTTGTTCTGCTGTAACACCAGAATTTCCCCATTGTGGGACCATAAAGGGATTTTCTATTCTAGTGTAACAATAGAAATCCCAGAGATATGAGAATTTTCGTTAGCCTCCAATGCCCCCAACAGTACTTCACAACTCATAAATCCCTTTTCAGATGTAAATGGCACCTTTTGCGCTGTGGCAGGAGAACCATTCCACCCCCTTCAGTTTCGGTTTTAGCTCAAGGCTCTCTGCTGGAGAGTGTTTTACCTAGGGTAAGAGCAGGGGTAAAAAAAATTATATTTTTAATTAAATATAACTAGGTCTACGTCATCAGTGTCGCCAACACCAGAATGATTTCAGCGAACGATAACTGATCTGTACAATGAAAATAGCTGAATGAGCTGGAACGCTGTGGAGCGGGAAAGCAAGAATATTTATACAATAATAACCATCTGCCCTATTTACTAGGGGGCAAATATAACTCACGCGAACTCTCCTCCGCTGCACCGGATCTCTCCTAGGCTGCAGCCATGCAGACAGCATCGTGAGACTGCAGTAAAATTGACAATATCAGGGCTGTCAACTCTCACCCAGTGGGTGTGAGACTCACGCATCTCCAGATCCCCAATTTTTAACGCTTAAACTGAACTCCATTCATATCCATATATTCATTCATATTCATTCATTGTTGGGACAGCAGCGGAGCTGAGGGACCCGCGCCAGATATTAAAAAATACCGGGATTTCTGAGCAGTTATTACAGGCCCGGCCCTAAACAATTTGGTGCCCTAGGCAAGATTTTAGGTGGCGCCCCCTTGCATCACTGTACAGTACTTGCATGTCTGCTAGTGTAAATATACTCACAAGAAACTAAAAAGCTTTGTCTTGGACATTTTTTTATTTACATAAAACAATATTCACATTCAAAAAACTTAAAAAAATAATTAAAGAAACAAAAAAAATGAACATATGAAATAAAATATAAATAACTTAGCAGGTATTAAATTAAAATACTCCCAAAAAGTGTTAAAAAGTGACATTAATTTAAATGCAATATAAATATGGCACTGTGCAAAGTAAGAAATCAATTAAATGAGTAGGCACAAAAAATATAATGATTTAAACAAAAGAAAAAAATAACATGATAGTTCTAGTGGTGTTTTTAGTCTCCCTCACATGACTACAGCTTTACTCTCCTGGATTTTCTTGAAGCAAAGTCATCTACAACATCATCCTATGACAGCTGATTTGAGACCACATGATTAATGCTTATGATGGAAAGTCCACTGAGACGTTCTTGCATCACAGTAGATCTCAGGTAAGTTTTAATCAGTTTAAGCTTGGAGAAGCTTCTTTCAGCAGCAGCCACCGTAATAGGAAGAGTGGCAGAGATTCTTAGAGCAACCCACATGTTGGGGTAAATTTCAGCTAGTCTCTTCTCATGCAGGAAAGTTTGTCATGTTCATGGATGGCAATGGTGGGAAATTTAGCATTTCCCTTGTGAGTTCTACGCCATCAATGTCCTGCTGGCTGTCCTGGGTCAGAGCAGCACTTAGGGTTTGACACTTCTCTAGCAGCTCTTTTTCTTTCTAAGTTGCTGAAATCAGGGAGCACACCAAACATGTTATTCACTTCTCCAAGATTCTGAAATCTCTCATCAAGTGAAGAAATGGCAGTATCCATGACTACATTAAAAAATGTGGTTTCCATTTTTTGTAGTGCATCTTGAATGGGCTCATCTGGACACTCATAGCCAAAGTGAGTTTTTGTGGTTCTCAATCGCTTTTTTTTAGTTCAGCCTCCACATTCACGTCTTCACACATCTCCTTTGCTATTGTCTGCGCATCAGAAAATCCAGTGTTTTTGTAACTGGTGAGGGAGTCTCTGGTTTTCCTCTACTAACATGCTGGATTTTGCAGAGAACGTCATACCATATGACTGCACAAATGCAAAAGCGAAATGATAATAATGTCTAATAATAAATAGATGATTTGAAGAATAAAGTAAAATTAAATTAAATAATATAAACAAAAAAGAGATGCTTGCATGATGTACACTATCGTTTATTTCATACAATATCATTTTTGGATTAGTAATAATTCTTATTACTGTAATTTATTGTTATTACAGTAAACTGAAGTTTACTGTAACATTAATGATGTACACTTTAACACTAACATAGTTTAACATGATGAACACATTTAATAATAATATGAACACAGCTAATAGCTAAGCTCATAACTATGGAAAATTTATAGTATTTTTGAATGACTATTACCACCTGGGAAAAGGTTAAATAACAATGTCAATGGTAACATCTCCTGAATAAATCTAATATATACACATGTGCCCAAGGATGGCATGATGGGGGCACTCAAATCACTATTTTCCAACAACTGGGCCCTTCCATAACATGAACTGATTTTAAAACTAACAGATAGCGCTCGCTGTTTATTGATTAGCAACTATGTCATGCTAACGGCTAATGCTATTATCAATCATTGTTCTGCAAAAGCAAAATAATATCATTATCATCATCTTTACTGTAACTTTACTTCTATCTTTATCATGTTTTTCCTCCTCTTCTTTTCTTTTTTTCCTCCCTTGGGCATCAGACAGTTTAGGACGCTTTGACATGGTGAGATTTTAGATGCAACATAGACCGAAAAAACCGAGTTGCAGGTAAAAGACGTCAGGCTTGTTTTTTTTAAATTAAGGTATAGGTACTGGTGGGGCGCCCCCTGGTGGTTTGCGCCCTTAGCATTTGCCTATACTGCCTAAGCCACAGGTCGGCCCTGCAAACACTCATTGGTTAGCTAAAGGAAATCATCAGAAGCAAGCAGGTGTTCTTCAAACTGCTAACGTGAATTGTCTATGCCATGCTACAATGTGGGATTCAGAAAAAGATGTTGAAATGTCTGAAAGGTCGGACACAGGCGTATCGGCAGATGGAGACCAACCAGACCTCCCTCATCCTTGGCCCTATATCAAAGAATTTTACGAAATAGTCGAAAAATTGAGCTTTCAATTCATATAGTGGCATCTGGCTGTTTTTTTTAAAGGTTACTTTATACTTTTATACTTTAAGTAGTTTTGGGGGCACATTACTTTTTCACTTTTACTTGAGTAAAGAGGTCAAGTTGATACTTCTACTTTTACCAGAGTGTTTATAAACTGCAGTATCTATACTTCTACTGAAGTAACAAATGTGTGAACTTTTGACACCACTGCACAGGGTGTATTCAAAATGACATTTCGTTCAGTACAGCCCTCAATACATTTCCATTTCTTAAATTGTAGCAATAATAAAATGTAAACATGGTGATCAAATGTAAACATAAGACAGAGATATGATTTACAGTTTTTCCAACATTCAGCGCTTTTTTTTTAACCCCATTTTATACAACATTCAGCAGTCTGATGGCGGTGGGGAAGAAGCTGTTCTGGAATCTGCTGGAGCTGCATCAGATGCTGCAAAGCCTCTTCTCAGAGGGCAGCAGGGAGAACAGTCCATGGTGGGGGGGTGAGGGGTCATTTATAATGTTACGGGCTCGGGACATGCAGCGCTGGGATGAGATGTCTTTTATGGAGGGAAGAGGAGCCCTTATGCTCTTCTCTGCAGTAAATATATTGAATTGTTAATTTAGGATAATTGTTTCATCAAATTGATTCATGCATCTCAAGTTACATTCAAAATCTGTAATGAACAGTGAGTGACAACATTAGCAGTTCTACAAAACTATCATTGGGTTACATTATTTGAATTATCACATCAAAAAATAAGATAATATTTCCACAGCTTTAGTCTTGAAATAAAATCCAGAGTCTCGGTGTTCAAGAGCAAGTCCACATGTGACTGAGTCAGAGAAAAGACCATCAATACATGATGCTGCAGCACCCATACATGAAGAACTTATTTACGTTACTTGAGTTTGTTTTTTTTTTCGGCTCAGTTTAGCTTTTTAATCATTGTTGCTGATTTTCTTTCTTGAAATGCAATTTTAACATTCAAGATAGCATCCTTTAGGACTGAATTTGGACACCACTGCTTTAGAGATTAGCATGACATTCCCCAAATGTGAGAAACTCAGGGCAGATATTATTAATAGTTTATTCATTTTATTAAGGCATTAGTTGTTGCCATGTGGCCAGGTTGTTCAGATAAGTTCTCAAATCAGAGTTGTAGTTTCTTTGTGGTAATAGATTAAACATTAAACCTTTACAGTTTGAGGGGAATCAAGGCTCTCCTGTTTTCTTTTTGGTTTGTTTTTGAATAATAAATAATAATCAAGATAGCTGGCTTTATTTTTGTGGTGTTTTTATGCTGAAGTTCTTTACAAGTGGTGTAGAATTGGTAGCAGGTGGTTCTACGCATCAATACATCAGGTGGTTTCTGAAAAAGTTACAAAGTTCTTTAAAAAGACTGAAAATTACACTGAAAAATACTGATATTACAACATTTTGCTTGTATTTTTGAATACTAATACTTATTGAATCCTCACTTTAATATTTTTGAATTTGCTGTAAATTTACAGCAATTGCTTACAGTGCATGTTAAACCGAGCCTCTACAAGCTTTGGGCCATCAGAAGATGCTGATGAGATCTGCAGCGACCAAACCAGAGGAGGATCATCTGAGCTGCTGACCTTCACAAAGAGTGAGACCATGTTCAGTAAGGAGCAACAATCATCCATCATTTAAATATAAAGGCAACATTTCAGATGGCTTCACTTAGTTTTTCATGTTAATTTCAGACTCTGTGGTCGTCCTAAAGCAGAAGTCCTGTGAGGAACCGGGACATCCAGGATGATGAGGAGCTTCCCAGTCCCTACCTGAGGACGGCACAGAGAAAGACTGGAACAGAAAACACACGGAGTAAGACTTTATTTACATGACAAACCAACAACTCAAGCTTCCCAGGCCTGATTAAAAGCTAACAATCATTGAAACACAGAAAGAACAAGATTATGATGAAAACAACATCCTGACCCAGATTTCAACTCGGTGTAGAGGAAATTCTGCAGATTAATTTGTCATATTTTTTACAGGGAAAGCAGGTTGAACATGGAAGCAGTGTTCTAGCAGTCGGGTCACATTGGAAAAGAATCCATCCACACGTGTTTGGAGGTATGTTGGTTGTTGTTTGACTAGAGAAGCATCGCATGCAGACAGGTTAAGACTGTGAGGATGCTTTGCTTTCATTTATGAAGGAGCTGAAGAAGAGGATGGAGCACACAGACCGCCAAGGAGCAGAGACATGGCTCCTCTATTTGTCTCTCCAATGTTCTGGAGTCTGAAAAACGTTGACGAGCCCACAGCTAAACCATCAGTTTGCTCCACCCAGTAGAAGAAGGTAACGGACCTTTATTGCTTCCAGATGTTCATCAGTATTGGTGAAGATACTAAAAACAGATCCAGAACAAACAGATACAAACGCTACAACCATCCCATCAAAGCGGTCTAACCTTTAATTTTCATCTTTCCATCATGAATGGATGTTCGCCTCTATTTGCATCTCTGTAACCAAACCTTTACCAGAACCAGAAGTTCTGACTTTTCCATTAGACCACATATAAACAGTTAAGAAGCAGCTTCTGATCCGATATGGGAGAATTTCCCCCTGGTTGATCTCTGAAGGTTTTTTTTAGAACTTATTAAAGCAGAGAAACGACCGACTGAAGACTCCAACAAATGCAGCATTTTCAGGCATTTTCTCCAAGCATCCATTGTTTACAGTTATAATTTCTGTGAACTTTAGCTTCTCCCTGTGTGTTTCTCTCTTCTATTGGTTAAAGTTACATTTCTCCCAGTGTTTATGTGTTTAAATGTCACAGACTAGCGTGTTGTTCACTAACTCCTGTTCTTCTTTTCCAGATGAGGTCATCTGCTCCTTGGACCGGCGCCTCTGTGTCTGTCGGACGTCTGCTGTCCTGATAAAGACCCACTCAGCCGCAGTAGAGGGGAGCTGACATGGAGCTCGGTTCTGCTTTCCTTCCTGCTTAAAGCTGGTTTTCCTCTCCACTGTCACCACTTCATTGCTCAGGAGGGACTGTAGCAAAATTGACGACTGTCTGTGATTGGCTGAGCTTCCTTGGGTTGAAGACATTTCTCTGAATGTCATGATAAACTCAATTTATCTTCACCATGTTGTAAATAGGATCTAACTGGATGTTTGTGTTTAGATTTGATTCTGTGTTTGTGTTGACTTCTGTTACGTGTTCCTGTATTAAAATTGTCATGTTAATTGCCTTTATATGACATTTGTAAGACTGATTTATATTAAATCCCCTTACTGGGTCTGGTTCTGTTGACGTATGCTTCCTGTCGTTCTAGCTTTACCTGTTTTTTATCACTATAATAAATGTTTGATTGCAGTAATGTGAACAGGATCTGTTTGTATTTTCTGGTAAAGTATCTTGAAACAATTTGTTGTAAATGTATTCTTTATAAATAAACCAAACTGAAGTCAACTGGAGAAGGTGTTCTAATATTACTATAGTACAGCGCTTTGGCAGATTGGTTATTATTGTTTCTCTGTTGGGGGGTCTGACCTGACAGCTCATGTTAACAGAATAATTGTTCTTGTCACTTTGCAGTGTCAAATCAAATTAGCTCTAAAAAAAGGACAGTGAGACGTTTCTCCTGCAGTTCTTCTAATTTTATTGACCTTATAGATAATCTGGGAGTTTAGCAGCAGAGCAGAAGGGACACATCAACACTGAGCCACACAAAGAACAACAAACGAATATGGGAGAATAAATAAAGATGAATGTTAAAATAAAACAGTAAAAAATATAATTAACTAGAATTAAAGAATTAAATGTTTAGTGAACCCAAAGGCAAACAGCTTTGGTTAATTTGAATAAAACTTGGTTCCAAGGTGCTTTTTTTCCCTTTTAATTATACATTAATATCTCTACCATACTTGGTCCCTCAGGGTTGCATTGCTCGCTCCTTTTAACAGAAACCAAGTAGTTCATGTTTCCGGCTCTATATTCTATCAGAGGAAATGTGGGAATGGATTTAAATGGATTAATGATCCTAAACTCACATTTAAACTGGTTTTGGAATAGATAAAGCAGCTTTAAATGAACATCTAGAACGTCGGCCATTGCTGGTCTGGATGACCACATTTAAGGCTACGTTCACACTGCAGGCATTAATGCGCTGTTTGATTTTTTATTTTAGGAAATCTTTGTTTTGCGTGGTTGATCACATTTCCAAATATATAATCTCCTTTGTGAACTGAATTCATTCAACTTAAGTGTCACAAAGGAGCGTGTTCTGTGTTTATGGAAGTAAACATGGAAGGTAGAGCTGGAGCGCATTTCCAATCTTTCATTTCTTTCCCAGCCTCAGCCAGCGCATTAACAACACAATCTTTTCAAGATGGTTGAAAATAAAGAATGCTCTCTGCATTATCGTCCGCCATAGTTGTTTTTCCTGCTGCTGCTACGTAGCAAGATTCAGAATAATGACTTTAGTCGAGTATTAATGGCGTACAGATCAGATGAATGGGTAAAGATTTGACTATGAGTATCAATACTTTTACTCAAGTACTCCTGTTGAGAACTACATCCAGCATTGCATGTATGTAATGACAGCTTTGCTCACCAACTTCAAACTCTTTATGGTTCTCTTTAATCTGTATGGTTATTAACAACTGGTTAAAAAAAAATTAACCTGGTAAAAAAAAACCTCAGCAAAAAGCTTATCAGGGTGTACTGTTTAATGGGTGACAGGGCTCGATATTAACCATCGCCCGATCCAAGTAGTTTTTATTGTCGGGAGAGTACAAATTTCATTGCATTTGCCCACCGGGAAGTGCAATTATCGCAAAAAAAAATTATTTATTGCTCAAAATTACTTTAAAATCACCAACATTAGCTGAAAACGACCCACAAGCGTTGCCGGCGCCATTTTTGTTGTTTTGTGCACATTCTCGCGTGATTTGAAAAAGCCGCCTGATTTTCCGCTAGATGGCGTGATTCAGCTCTTGGGGAGAGAATTCTGCAGAGCAGCAGCTGGATGATGAATTTAATCTATACTATAATACACGCTAGATTAAAAATGATCAGTCAGGGATTAGGAAAATAATAGTTATAATTGTATGTGTAAATATTTCTATCATGTGGCAGTCTTATGTACAGTGATTCAGCTCATACATTAAAAATGTTCATTAAATTTTTTTCTCTTAGACATTGGAGTGGTGCATTTAAATGTTATAGAGCTAAACATGTTAAATTGGTGAGTAGTAGTAGTGTAAGTTTTTAACCTGTCAAGGTTTTTTTATTGTATTTTTAACATTACAATTTATATTTTTCCAAGCACACAACAGTTTAAAGCAAAGTTTAGTTTGAAAAGAATGTGCAGGAAGGATTGAAAAGCATGTTAACACGGTAATGTAGGCTTGAGTTCATTATCTGACGCATGCAGATACACACCAGGAACCTGGAAACCTAAAAAATACTGAATTACAAAAAACATTTAAAAAACAAACATGTTCCATTGATATATATACAAAAATGAATATTAGGAACTATATTTATCAAACATTATACTGGGCAAGTAAAAATTGTTTCTGGGCAAATGAAATGTGAAAGCCACTTGCCCCAAGGGCAAAAAATCCTTAACGTCAACCCTTTGGTGAAATAGGGCTTTGGGAAATAAATAAAATCAATGAGGGTCAACGGAAAAAGCTGCTGTTTGGTGATGAGTTTGAAACAACTGAAAAAAAACAACAACAAGTAATCTGTTTCAATGCTGACTCTCATCTATTTACCTTAAATAAAAACTCAATTTCACCGACATAACTTTATTTCTATATATTGTTTTACATCAATAAATCATTTATCTGTATCAAAAAGAGATTTCAAATATAAATCGGCTCATCATGCTGAGAATACACAAACTCTTAACCTGCCATACACTCCATTTATCATTTCATCGTCACACAGAGCCTTTGCTTTGCCCTTTAGGAGCTGATTGAAATACGCATTTAAAACATGAAATTAGACACAGACATATGAACAAAAAGATGCTGCCAGTAAAATATACAAGAGTCTTTAGTAAAAAGTCTAAAATATAGAAAAACTGTTGTATAAAAGAAGGCAGTGATGCATCCATCTGTCTCCTGCAGTTCATTTAAAGGTCAAATCTCTTCTCTGTCCATTTGATCCCTTGGCAGCAGGTTTCATTAAGCTCAGGATCAATTACATTTGATAAAACAGATTCATGAGATCCAGGTGGAGTAAGCAGACACCAACACATCCCTGAATAGGCAGTTAATGCTTACAGCAGCGATGTGGGGCTTAAGGTCTCGTCATTTCCATGATCTCCTCTAATGACACAAAGCAGCAGAACGGTTCTGTGTGTCCGACACCAGTGGTTAAGATGCAAGTATTTTAGTAGGGCCCTTAGTCCTTTACTTCAGTTCTCTGAATATCACCAGAATATAGAAAATAATCTATATTGTGTGAAAAATGACCACATAACTACAGATCACTTATTGTTACTCAGTAACATTTACTGTGCTATATAAAAATTCAACATTTTACAACTTTGTTTCAGGTAAATCCTCTGAAAACCTAAAACCTATAGCTGCACCTATCCTCATCTAACCCTGACAATGGCTGCATGTCCAAATTCTTTTAAAATCTAAAAACAAATGTTTGGTGAAAAGTTGGCAGCCCTACAATATATTCACAGATTCTGCATTTCCGGATTAATAACTCGTCGGCAGATGATTTGTTCTACAAAACAGACACCTCTCAGCAACCACAGCAGGCCAGACTGTGAGCTACAACCGTAGTTTCCTCAAAACGAGTCTCCTATCGCTCTGGGAGAATTACATTGGGCCCTAGCAGAGCTCGCTCCTCTACAAATGCTTAGGGACCGTCTGCAAGTTGCAAAATAATCAGAGAGAAATATTCAAAAGCGTTACCAAGGAGAGGTGGATTATTATTAAATTCATTTCATGTGTACCTCATCTCATGTCTTTCATTCCACATTTATTGGATTTGAAAATAATACTTTTTTTTAGGAATTTCCCAAAGCCTAAATGACAAATGGCACCTCTATTTTATTATCAGAATAAGTATAAAATGAGCAATGACTACACTATACATCATTGTAGTGCCACCAAACTTGGAGCACACATAGATAACCTCATTTAGTTCATACTACAACTTTTACTTTCAGAATATGTGATAAACTCTATTTCTTGAGATTTTTTCATTGTT